AATTTATATATTCAAATATAATATTTATTTTTATATGTAATTTATTATAAATTTTAATTATATATAATAAATATTTAACACGTGCTATGAACATACTTAAAATACTAGTTATTCTATAAATCTTGATAGTTTACTATCAAGTGTTTTCCATGCATTTCTTTCTCTAATAAAACAATATTGGTCATCTATTGACGTTCGAAAAGGTTACTTATTCATTAATCAATTGCGCTCAAATTGTCATGTTGTTCTAAACAAACAAAACTTTGCTACTATAACGTCTTGAGAGAAAAATTAGAATTTAAGTATATATAATTAAAGCTAAAACATACTTGTGGCCTTTTATATTATTATTCAAATTAGTTTTGGTCCTTTGTTTTTCTTTTTTTTAAAAAAAGTTTCACTTTGCTCATTTAACTTTGAAATTTGAGTTAAGGTTTTTTTTTCGAAACAAATGTCACTTTGAATTTTTGGATGCAATGTTCAGCACTTCTATTTAGACTGATTCAAGGCGTGAAATTTGTCCAACGAGATTCAATATCAAAATTAAATAATATTGTGACGTAACTAATGTTCGAACAAAAGAGATACATAAGCATGGTGAAAGTTGCATCAAGCATGAGGCTTGGAAGCAAATAGAAAACTAAAAGGTCTTTTATGTGTTCTTTCCTAATAGCCTATGGGCTAGCTTTTTACATGATTTTCACATTATTTATATCCTTTTATTGATATGAACGTTAATTGGGTTCCTTAGTTTTCATTTTGGTGAAACTAATGGAACATGGTTTATGTCTTTAATCAGTCAAAAGACGAGTTTCATATTTAAGTTCTCATTTTATTTCAACATTGAATGGTTAGATATCTTTTGAATCCTTATAAATATGTTATGTTATACATTTATTCTATGTAATGTATTTTTTATTGATACAATTATTGATGTTGTGACAACTTTGATATGACAATGATATACATGTGACAACCTTGATGATATGACATCATCCACAACAAATGTTGTTAGTCACGTTATACGAAAACCTTATCAATCAAAACATATGAAAATCATAATCATCCAATAATAAATTACGTCGAACTTTGCTTGTGCATCCTTGGTCACAAAAACATGTATAAAATGCATGGACAAATCCTAGTTTTATTAATTTTCCCCAATGCTTCCTTCCTTTCTAAGCTATCTTGAAAGGAGGGGATTTGAGTGAAGGATTAGAAAAAGGGCCCTCAACTATTCCTTTTTCTATTAGCCTATATGCTGCTTCGGTAAAATGGGGTCCATCCCAAATTATGCATTTTGAAGGGTCTGAGCAAACCATTGAGGCAACACTTCCACAATATATTTGTTCACTAAGACCGTAAGGCTCCCCCTTTCCACAACATGCTCTAAAAGTCTCGATTTTACCATAATAAAAACCTATAGTAAAAAAGAAATGGACAAGATCAGAATAAACCATAGAAAAACTAACAATTGCATGCAACTATTCATTATTGATCTAATAAAAAGAAATAAAAGCACAACCCACCATATTGTTGTGGTGCTTGAAATAAACGCTTGGCAGCACCGTAGTAGTCAAAATATGTTATCTTAACATGTGGCTTCTTTTGTCTTAATGTCTCGATAGCCTTTTTGAGTTGTCCATTATAGTACTCGATGAAAGCATTGTAAGCTGCCAAACACCCAAATTGATCATAGTCTTCTTTCTTATCACTGCCCACCTGATAAGTGCTCAAATTGCATATTTTTATGCTTAATTTGGCACTCTTTTTGGGAGAGATGTAAGTAATTTTGGTTGTATTTGACCCTCCAAATAGATGAACTAAGATTAATCTAAGGAGTTACAAGAGTGTAGTTTCTTTGGCTGAAAATATTTCCTTTTTGTGTAGGTTTTGATGAAGTTGGAAATCCAAGGCTATAGCCCCAAAGCCAAAGCTGCAGCCATGAATCCTGAACCAAAAAGAAGTGTTCCAGAGAGTTAAGGCTATAGCTCCAGAGCCAAAGCTGCAGCCTCGAAACAAAGAGGTATTCCAGAGAGTTGAAGCTTTAGCCATGAAACCAGAGCTCCAGCCTTGGAACATTTTGGGCAGTCCATAAATTCAAAGCTACAGCCCCCAATCCAGAGCTGCAGCCTTGGGTTAAAAATCCCAACTTTCCCTTGGACAGAACGTATTTTAGGGCACGAAAAGAAGGAAAAAAGGGACCGAAGAGAAACAAAAAAACGAAAAGAAAAATAGAGAGAAAGATCACCCAGGAGAAGAGGAGAGCTTGAAGATTAGACTTGAAGATTGGCTTGCTGGGGAACGAGGATCCATCTTCATTTCTTCTCTTCTATTGTGTAATCTCATCTTGTTATTTGCTATGGCCCTCACCATGAGTGGCTAGTTTCTCTTGGGTTGGATTCAATGTAACTACTAACTCTATTTCTTCTTAGATCTATATGATATTCAGTTCTATTACTTGTGTTTGATTCTTCGCTTAATGCTTAATCCGGTTTGATCACCCGTTTTATGATTTTAGGTTTTTGAACTTTGTTGGGAAACATTTTCAAAACCCGAACTGAATCATTCACCTAATAATCTCTTGTTCTAGGAATAGACTTGATTTTATTAGCCATTTTGGTTCAAGTTATTGTCTTAATGCAAGGTGTTAATCTTAAATCATAGAGGAATCATGTTTAGGGTTAACCACCTTAGGGCTCAATTTTGAGGAATCTGGTTGAGCTAATTATTGAACATGGAAGTGATAGAAATGGAATCATATTTATCTGATGAAGATTAAAAGAATTAGAAAGTACATTTGAATCCAATCTCTTTCTCATATAAGGTTTTCTGTTACATTCATTCTGTTATTTTAATTGCTCTAATTTAAACTTAAATCAATATTTCAACCCACCATATTGTTGTGGTGCTTGAAATAAACGCTTGGCAGCACCGTAGTAATCAAAATATGTTATGTTAACATGTGGGTTCTTTTGTCTTAATGTCTCAATAGCCTTTTTGATTTGTCCATTATAGTACTCGATGAAAGCATTGTAAGCTGCCAAACACCCAAATTGATCATAGTCTTCTTTCTTATCACTGCCCACCCTTGCCAAAACAGCAGAATTGCACCCAATTGGGAAGTTCCCCGGTACCACTAGCTCCACTGCTCCTTCCTCTATTAATTTCTAGCGAATAAAAACAAAAATAAGATTTAATTTCTAATCAACCATATTTCAAACCCAAGCTTAATTAAACTATTAAAATTGGAGTTGGCATAAGTTTGCTATAACATACGGTGATGGCATTAGTAATTGCTTCAACAATAAGTGGAACCATTTCTCGAAGTGCTGACATATTTTTATACGGGATGATTGCGTTAATGTCGTTGCCACCAATCTCTCCCACCAGAAACAATGTGTTTTTGAAGTAACTATCACACTCTGTCATAAAAAGGGGTACACGTTGTTAATCACATTGAGAAAATTTTCAAATATTCGACAAAAACATTAACGAAGGAGTTTAATTGGGTAAGACCTTCGCTTTTACAAAGGGAGGGTTTGAGCTTCTTAAACCATTCAAGTTGAGTACTTAAAGAATAAGAAGCTGCGTCTAGTTCCAACATTTGTTGCATGAAAAAATCCTTATCTAGTGCAGTTGAACCAGCATATGCAAAATTTACTCCTTTGGTAATGTCTTGTCCTTCGGTAAGATTCAAGTAGGGTGGCAACATTGGCAACCCATATGCCTCAGCTAAAATTAAAATGACCACAAGTTAGTGTAATCATCAATATGTGATTGTTAAGATCTAATGTTTCATATACTCCATTTGTGCAAGTAAATTTTATTTAAGTTGTCTAAAAAAAGGGAGTACAAAATACCTATAAAAGAAAGTTGGCAAGGTAAAAACAATTCAATGATTATATCACATTACAATGTATTTTCTAAGGTGTGGAAAATAGTGAAATGATATTTTTTTATTTTAAATTTTGGACTTTTTTTAAAACATTTTCAAAGAAAATATTTTATAAAATTAAAAATAAACATATTTTTATGCTTATTTTTTATTTTTTTAAAAATAAAAATAGAAAACAGTGAAACCAGTATCACAATAGTGAAGAAATGAAATAAAACCAAACTCATTTTCATGTGTCAAATGACCCAATGCAAAATTCATACTAACGGTGACGGATACATTTATCCCTTTCATTTCGATATTGGTTAAAAAAAATATTATTTTTTAATGATAAATTACACTTTTAATCTTGTATCTTATTTTTTTTAGATTTAAGTTTTATCTTTTATTTTTTAAAAATTAATTAATTAATTTATTTATATTTATTAAGTGATCCAAAATAGTCTTTTTGTGATGTCCATAACGATGAACGTTAAAAAATTCCGACTTAACTATTAATTGTGCGCATTAAAAAAAATGAAGGGTGAAATTGAACCTATTTATATGTACTTAGTTAATGTGTTTATTACTTTTGGTTAGGACACCAAAAGTTATCTTTGCATTTGCATGCCTTCTAAATTTGTGTTATATATAGGATTGTTTGAATCATCAATTCTGAAAGAGACAAAAGCACACAAGTTTGCTATTAGAAAATCATGTTGATTATAGCACAACGATATAAGATCTACGTGGTAATTTAAGGTTAAAAGTTTAAAACGCGTGAACAATTCATTATGATATATATGGCATAATCTATTTTACATAAGGTTTTAATGTTAAACGCTAAAGTTCAAACGATCATTGGACGGTCTTGAGCAAAAGCATATTGGATGCTCATTTTCAAAATATTATATTAAAGATACATTTCTTTTAGAAAAGTTTATAACAAAACCTTTTATTGTGCTTTGTTATTTTAAAAAACCCATTAGAAAGTATAGACTTTAATCTTCTAGTCTTTGGTTCCAATCACTGGTTCACTTGTTTCAATGAAATCTAGTCTCATTACATATCTTATAACATAAAATAGACAAGTCATGTTCGTGTTGAATGGATAATATTCTCAAACATTCCAAACATCCATTCACATTCAACTAAGTCATATACTAGTCAAAATGTCAAATTGAACTAATTATATATTATTTATATAAAAAGTGTTAGATAATATATATATATATAATATTTAATATATAATTAAAATAATTTTAGTATTAATTTTAAATAAAATTTAATGACATATATTGTGTGTCATTATAGTTCATACATACACTTGTTTTAACAATATATTTATAATGTAAGTGAAAGTAACTTTTAGTGACAAATATTATGTTATTATAAAGTATGTGTCATTATATGAAAAAAAAAATTTATAGTGATTATTTCATTATGAAAACTATTTATTTGATAAGCATGGTATATATATATATATATATATATATATATATATAATTGTCTTCTTCATTGTCATCTCCTGTGCCTATGATCTTTGTAAAATGCAAAGGTCATGATATATAGAGTTGTACTAAACTTGAATTTTTGAATTTTTGATGTATTGTGAACTCTTTTGAAAATGAGTGGTGTGTTGAGTTTATATAGAAAATATTTTGTGTTGTTGTAATTGAATATTACTTTGATCATGTAATCGATTACATTAATTATATTGCTACTCAAAAACATACTATGTGTAATTGTAACTAGTTACATTGTCATGTAATCGATTAAAATATAAATTTTTGTTTTACAAACTACACTTTGTTTCATATGTAATTTATTACTTAAAATATTGTAATCAATTACATATGAAACTTGGTCAGATGTTCAAAAATATGATTCATAATTCTAAGATCATTGACAGAGCATCAAGTTTTATAACTCAACACTATAACACCTTCCCTCTCATGTAATTATTTCTCTAAAAATGTAATTAGTTACATCAAAGTATTTTGGTTTTCAAACAAATCCTGTAATTGATTTCCTTGTTATGTAATCAATTATATCATAACATTTAAGCATTGTAAAAAAAACCTAGTGTTCATGTAATTAATTACTTTTCTCTAGTAATTGATTACATTAGAGTGATTTGTCTTTACCATTTAAGCTTGATTCACTCATTATCTTTTGAAGCTTGGTTGTTTTTAGTTTATGAAAACATGTTATTTTTAGTCTTTGTTTTAGTGATTTAAAGTTAAAGGGAGATTAGCCTTAGCTACATTAAACCTAACTTATTTACTTAACCAAGACTTACACAAAATAAATGAAAAATTTATTCAATTACATGACTCTTCTTGATCTTTTGACTCCTCACTTCATCATGTGAAAAGCCAAAATATCACTGCATCTTTCTTTAGCTTCATCCTATTCTTTTAATCACATCATTACTAACACAAAAAACACCATTTGACGATCTTATTGCCACATCCTTAGATAGCATTCTACTTAGGAAAAATTGTTTGCATTAATGGACTATGGTTAACCAAAAGACTAACCCAAATTTTTGAGTTTATTTTTAATTTCAGGTGATTGAGGGACTAACCTCACAACATTACACAAATTCAAGGACCAAAAATTCCCTTTACTCATAACAATTTATATCATCCTATCATCTAGACGTTAAGTTCATAAGTAACTGTCCATTATCTTATTTTTTAGGAAAGTGGATTTCATGTCAAAAAATTGTCATGATTCAATCTTTAAATGTTTCACTCAAAATTTGTGACATCCTTCTACCCTAAAGCATTGTAAATAAAGATTTTAAGCTATAAAGATAAATGTTGAAGCAACGCCATAAAGGAATTTCTTTTTAGCCTTTCCTTAGAGGTAGTTTTGGCAATTGAACTTAATGAAGATCTCTTTTTTGGAATTTGCATGGCCCTAAGAATGCAAGAACAAGGAATGTAAAAGCTAATACTTGTACATTGCATAAGTTAGATATCGTTCTCCTTTCTAAGCCATGAGTTGAATGGAAAAAAATGCCTTCATAACTTTGTTCTAACCATAGTCTACAACTATTCTCAGATAACGATAAGGATCTGGACCTCCCAAATCTCTAGTGCTTATGTTCTTTGGCCATTTCTCCAACGCTTTTAGCAACTTCAAGTTAGTTGGTGGCCTTTTCTCTCACCTTGGGTGATCATTTGTGTTACTTTGTTGTTGTCAAGGCACTACAAGAAAAATGCAAAATATAGATTGAAATTAGCAACTAAAATTTATCAATCTCTATATTGCGACTAATTTAGCGACCAATTATTAATAATCAATCAGTAACCGATTTAGCGACCAAAATAAGTCGTTGCTAGAAAATTGATCACTATATCTGTTGTTTGATTGTGTTTCATGAACACAGTTTGTGACAGATCAGCGACCAACTAGCTACTAAATTGTAAAAAAGTTGTGACCGAATTAAATTCGGTCGCTAAAATAAGAAATTTTGATTTTTTTAGCTATCGATTATATTTCGGTAGCTAATACATACAAAGCAACCCACCTATAGCGACTGAATTGTATTTTAGAGCTGTGAAAACAGGCTAGCCTAGCTCATGTGGGCCAGCCCACCTTAAAAACGGGCCAACCCAACCCGACTCACTTTTGATTTTGTCAGAATTTTTCTGGCCCAGCCTGGCCCACCACTGGTTGGTGGGTTAAACGGGCCAGCCCACCAACCCACCAAAAACTTTAAAAAAAAATTACCAACAAACACTACAAAAAAAATGCTATTTAGTGGGGGTTATTTTACGGGGGTTTTAAAAACCTCCTCAAATTAACATGATTTGCGGCATTTTTGAAAAACGCTTAAAATTCTAAATATAGTGGCGGTTTCTATATTTTTTTGAGGAGGTTTATGCCCTCCTAAATTCATATACAATTTTTCGCGAAAAAATTTTCACCCTTTTCCCTCTTTTACTTTTCCCCAATTTTTTTCACCCAATCCCTCCTTCAATCACTCTTCCACTCTTCCGCTCACTGAGTTTAGCAGTCATCAACCATTTCGTGCTTCGACCCTCTCGTCTCTCTCGCCTTCAAAATCCCCTTCCTTCTTCCTCAGGTACCATTTCCTCTTTCTCTTTTCCATTAGGTTTTCGTTTCGGATCTCTCATTCCACGTCTTTCGCACTTTATTCCGCAATGCTGGATCCGTTTTCCTTTGTCTTGAAGAATTGACTTAAATTAATCTGATTTCATCACGTCGCTGGTTCAATCGATGTTCAATGTCTTGAATAACATGTTCTCTGGTTCTAAATTTTTTCTAACCATGCATTGAAGTGTTTAGTGAAGGAATCATTTGTTCTTTACGATGTTTATGGTTCTGAAACTTCTGATAAAAGTATGAAACAATCTTTTTAGGAAACTGTTTTGTTTACAGTAAACTCTAACTTGTGCTGGAATTTTAAGGTTCAGAGATTTTGGTGCTTCTGTTCTCGCTTTCCAGCATTTTGTTAGAAACTTAGTTTTCTCTTGCTCTGATTCGCTTTTCCATGAATGGATTTTGAAGTCATTGATTTTTTGAGCTTCTTAGCAGACTAATGATCTTCTTTCTCTTCTCGATAGGCACGAAAGTCAAAGTTTTCCGAATTTTCTAATAGGCCTATTTAAATCAATCTTCAAACTCTATCATTTCATCTAAATCTGGGAAAACATTGGTCAGTTTTCTTTTCCTTCCTTTACTATAATGTTTTTATTGATAAGATTTATGCATTGTTTTACATTTTCTTAAGTTAGCAAGGTTAGTCGTCCAATTATAATATCATTCAAAAGCTGCACTTTTTTGGATATGGAGGATCGTAGTATCCAACATTTACAAATAGGATTATCTGCTCTAGTTTGAAGGAATTGTTTGGTTATTACTTTTACTTAATCTCTGTGAAAAAACAGTCACTTGTTTGTATCAAATGTAATTTGGATCTTACAGCTTAATAGATTTTATTTGTCTTATTTGGATAAACTTCTCAATAAAATAAATTCTTATTGGAAAAGTAAATAAGAGGATAGAATTACTTCGGCTTCTCCTATAACTCGCATGACTCATCTGTTTTATAGCAATTATTAATATCATAAATAGGGATAGAAAATTGTCTAACCATTCTTATTTATCATGTCTACAAATTAATCAACTTTAAACTTTTTAAGTTGAAGCTAGATTTTAATGTCTTTAACCTGCCAAATACATTTGATTTGTGTTATAACAAGGTTCCGTCCAACAACAGTACAATAATGAGTATAAATCCTAGCAATGGTACTCTCGGCCCAATTTGCATCTGGGTTGGCTTTTATTTGTAAGTATCCACTTCATACAGTAATCCACTTCCTGGTGAGCTTAAATAACATAATATATAGTCATAAAATTAGCATTATTAATAGTCATAAGTCATAACTCATCATACAAAATTAAATACAAACCATGATAAAAGTCCAAAATAAAAAGTTTCAATGTTCCATCATACAAAATTAACTACAAACCATAATCAAAGTCCAACTCCAAAATAAAAAGGTTCAATGCCTCATCATACAAAATTAACTACAAACCATAATCAAACTCCAAACTTCAAAATAAAAAGTTTCATTGTTTTATCATACGAAAGTCTTACAAAATAAACTTAATTAGAGTCTTGCACGGAAATGTCAATAACAATTTCTTCTCTTTGCATATCCACTTTATCTCTACCTACAAATAGGAAAAAAAAGTGTTAGGATGAGCTATTGTAAAAATAAATAAGAAATTTTTCATTATAAAAATTATCTAATTCTTCAAAACCATGTAACCAATTTTGAGTTAGAATGAGTAACTCTACATTTTTAGGAAGAATGGTATAGCGATACTTAGTTAGCACCTGAGACCCAAGACTAAAAATAGATTCACTAGCAACTGTAGTGATTGGAATACTCAACACATCACAAGCCATCTGAGAGAGGTTTGGATAACGATCATGACGATCCCTCCGATAAGCTAACACATCTAACTTTTCATGAAACTTTGGATTAAAATTTCCTTCCTCCAAATCTAGATCCAATTCAGATTTTCCATTAGCAGTAACATTTTGGCTCAAATAGTCAACATATTCCTAAGACATTACAAAGAAAAATAAATTCATTATTCATTATTCAATGATAATTACTAAATAAAAATGAAATTAAATAAAGTACTTTAAAAAATTATTAACTTATATCAAAGGTATCAATTACTTGCTCATCATTTGTATATGAAATTGGTTGTGGTGGAAGAAGAGACACATTAGAAGTTGAAGCATTTGACTCATTTGATTTTACTTTCTCATACTCTTCAAAAAGTTCATAAATTTTCTTTCTTAAAACACTAATTTTCTCTTCAGAAGTAGAAGGCTCAATTTTTCTATAAGCAAACTGAATAGCTCCAAACTTCATTCGTGGGTCAAGAATAACACCAATGGCAAGAATCTCACAATAATCATGCCAATACTTTGAAAACTTAGTCATCATTTTTTAAGCCATCTCTTTAATCACTAGATCTTCACACATAACAAATTCACGCAACAATCTTTCAATTTTCCAAACTTGCATAAAGTACCGATTAGATGTTGGATAAGTGGAGCCTGATATCAAATTTGTCATGACAAAAAAAGGCTTCACGAACTCGCACATTCTTGCAGCCCTATTCCATTCATCATCTAATGGGCAATGAACATAATTCCTATCTCGAATAGCCAAACAACCAAACAAACTTTTGTATTTAATTGCACTATCAAGCATAACATAAGTGGAATTCCATCTAGTGAGCACATCCATTCTCAAACCCACCTTAGTATCAATACCCCTCACTTGAAGCACACATTCTTTAAAAGCAATCTTTCTAGCTTTCGATCCTCTTACATATTTTATACTCTCTCTAATTTTTTTTCAAAGCACCACTAGCCACCCCCAAACCCTCTTGAACAATGAGGTTCAATATATGTGCACTACATCTCACATGAAAATATGAGCCATTACAAATCAAACTGTTCTGCAAATTAAATTGTGCTTTTACGAAATTTACCATTATGTCATTGGCACTTGCATTGTCCAAAGTTATGGAAAACACTTTCCTATCTATTCCCCCAATCAAGCAAGATTTCAAATATTTTTTTTTCCATTTCATGACCACCATGTGGAGGATCTAACTTAGAGAAGGCAAGAATCTTACTATTTAGTTTCCAATTAAAATCAACAAAATGAGTAGTTACAAAATGTATCATTCCTAAGTTATGCATGTCCAACAATCAGATGTTAAACAAATCCTACTATTAGCTTTATGCATTGCATTTTTCACCTTTACTTTTTCTTCATCATGAATCCTCCAAAGGTTAGAAATAGTTGTGTTCCTACTAGGAATTCTTAACCCAGGACATAAATACAAAAGTAACACCCTAATCCACTTATACCCAACAAAACTAAATGATACCCCATGTTCAATAATAGCCATTGAAAGCAAATCTTCAAAATGTTTTTGATCTATTTCTCTAGATCTCAACTTGCCAGCTTGATCAATTATCATATTTCCAATTTGTGCAGATTTTTGTTTTTGCTTTAAGATGTCACACTTTTGCAAATGACGTAACATGGAAGAAGTTCCTATTTTTACACCACCAAAAACATATTCATTACCACAATGGTTGCATTTAGCTTTTTCTGTACCATCTTTTACCCAAGTTTAGTAAAAATATCCCAAACTTTAGACATGGTTGTCTTAGGCTTCTTAGTTGACCTAGAATCATCAATATCTTCAATAATAAGAGAAAGTTGTTCATTTAATCCAACATCAATAATTTGCTTATGAGTTTCAGAGTCCATTCTGTATATTGAAAACATTAATAAAAAGAAAGTTATTCATACAATCAAAGACCAATATATCACTGGTAATGATCAATAGAAACTACCACTCATAGATTTTTACTACACATTTTAACAATCTTCTTATCTCAAAATCTTCTAAAAAAATTGTCCTTATTTTATGGTGACTAATAAAAAAATCATAAAGTGAAGATATAAGAATTAAAATGAAAAAGAAAAACTCGTATAATGGCTAAAATATAAAAACTAATAAAAACATAAGTAACGACTAAATTATTAATTAATTTTTTATTTATTTTTTCTTACGAGTTACACCAAATGTTTATTCTTTTATAAAATATATCAACGATTATTGATTTTTTTTTAGTTGTTAATTAGTTTTGTTGAAGCATCCATTATAATACTTGATATAATTTTAATTTAGTTTTAATGTAATATACATCATCCAGCATAGATAAAATTAATATACATCATCCATTATTGTTTTGAAAGCATAGGTAAAATATATGGATTTCATTATTTGGGCTTACGTAACAAGGTGAAGGCCAATTCCATTGGAGCCCAAACCTAATCCATTATTAAAAGAACAAAACCTTACACAGTACACACCCTCTCAATCTCTCATCCCCAAAGCGTGTTGTTGCAGGCAGAGAGAGAAAAGTTGAAGTGGCCAAAGCAAAAGAAAAATGGGTCACGTAAAAGGAGAGAGCACCTTAAGCCGAAGAAGTCATCCTCTGTGAGGCTCGTGAGGCGCACAACGAGTTTCCTTTGATTCTTTGTGACGATGACGTGTTCATAATCCTGAAGTTGAAGTTGTTGGTCTTCCTCCAAGTGGAACCTGTAGAGGGGGGCAGGAGGCGTGGAGGTGGAGCCGTGGAGGGCGATTTGTATTTTGTTCCTTGCCAGAATAGGGTTTTCAGTCTTCTGACCGTTTTGTTTTGGAATTAGCGTTTGGTGTGTGTGTGTCTCATTGTATTTTCTATTGCAAGAAAAAAAAATAGGTGGGCTGGTGCCACCACAGGTTTAGCTCAAGTGGGTCGGGTTTAGATTTACCCACTTACTATAAATGTTTCATTTATTTTGGCCCAGCCCAGCCCATCTTTAAGGTAGGCCAGGTTGGCCCACGGGCCATAGCCCATTTTGGTGACTCTATTGTATTTGGTCGCAAAATATTAGTTAAACTTAGCAACTGAATAATATTCGGTTGCTAAATAAAACTTAAAAAAAAAACAATATAAATTGCTTA